CTTTTTAACAAAATACAATAATTAAAGACCGTTCACTGCTGTTTTTGTTTTGTTGTTGATGTTTGTATTAATACATTTCTTGCCTCTTTTATTATTTTCCTTTCCACTTTCAGCTGCACTGACGAACTTGAGCTGCATCATTGCTCTTTTGTACTGGAGGCCTCATCGTGACCAGCTTGCTGTGTTTTTTGTGTTTCCTGCTCTGTGGGGTTTGTCAGATGCTATCTGGCAAACCCAAACTAATGGTAAGAAACCCAATCAGCCCACCTGGGGCAACTAGCAGGTACACCCACAAATGAGGATTTCAAAAACGGTCTGCCTTCATTATAATGCACGCATGTGCAATTGACTGAACTAGAAATGCTGTCTTGCCTTGTCTTCTGAGTTTTTTTAGTTAAAAAAACTCAAACTTAAGCTTAAAATTAGCAAGAATCTAGCTGATCTCCCCTTCAAGATAACATGCTGTTGCTGGCTCTCCCCTGAGATGATGCTTTGCAGTGTGCACTCTGAAACCGTGAACCTTAAACCAGTGTAAACTAAATTTTCTGTGGAGACAGAGATGGTAACAAAATCAGGAAAGTGTTTACAGGCTCAGTCAAAAGGTGGTTTTCCTCTAGACTTTCATAGGATTTAAAGTCCTTCTGCACACACAGGTTAGCCGCCTAGTGGCTATTTAAAACACTGTATGTTGTCTTTGCTCTTCAGACATAGAAACAAAATCCATTGTTATAAGTGCCATAAGGGTCATTACTCAAAAAAAGTAAAGTGTTAAATAAAACGTGTTATTTTTCTTAAATGTAACGCAGTAAATTACTTAATTACTCATTGGAGACAGTAATTTGTTACATTACCCCTGTTACTCTGTAACATGACCTGACGACACAGGAGTTTAAAACCAGTCCAAAAAGACATTTACAGCTGCAGAAATAACTACAGGTAGAAATAAAGGCTATAAGCCTTACTGGCAGTCACTGCCTTTATTACCTGCACTTAATTACCTTCTCTTGGCGCCCCTACCCCCTTGTCTCACAGCTCTTTACGGCATCCTCTTCCCACGGGAAAAAGAGGCGGCGTTTGCAAACTACCGGATGTGGGAGTCGTTGGGTGCCGTCATCGCCTTCGCCTACAGCACGTTCTTATGCCTGGAGTATAAACTGTACATCGTGCTGGCCGTGCTGGTGGTCACCGCCATCACTTACCCGATAGTGGAGTACCATGAACACAAGCATCCAACAAAACCCATTGAAGAAGGAGCCTACCAAAATCACAAAGAAGTCATCAAAGCAAATGACGACATCATCTGCCAGACACACTTGTAGAGACACAAAGTTCAGCATGCCTCCTGTCAGGGGCCAACTGGTGATGCATAAAGTTAAAATCGAATGAATGCCATTGTAAACGCATGATGTGATTGTAGAGGTGCAGTAAGTAATAAGCCCACGTCTGTTGAACTTCACCAGACATTGACTTTGCTCTTTTCTTCCTTGTGGTAAAGCAACACAAACTGTAATGTCTTGCTTTTTTTAAAAATAACTTTATTTATTTTTTTAAATAAGGCCAGCTTTGTAGCTTCTGTTTGAAACTTTTTGTTTGGTTGGCACCGTACTGTTGTCATCATTCATGTGCTTCAGTCTTCAGTATCTATATCGGCTAAATGTTGAGCAATTTGTGCGTGCAATCTTATCCACTTTATTTTACTGAC